CAACCGCCCCCTCCAGCCCGGCCCTCAAACATTTTAAGCCTTCAGGCTACCTTTGTGAAATTAAGCTTTAAAAAGAAAATATGAGTGCCCTGGAGCCCAGGAATAGATCCTAAGTGTTTTATAACACCATACACAGATTTCATAAAGAGGAAAGGGAGAAAGAGAAAGGGAGAGATGGAAAGAGGAAGGAAGGAAGGAAGGAAGGAAGGAAGGAAGGAAGGAAGGAAGGAAGGGAGGGAGGGAGGGAGGGAGGGAGGGAGGGAGGGAGGAAGGAAGGAAGGAGGGAGGGAGGGAAGGAAGGAAGGAAGGAAGGAAAGGAAAAAGGCCATTGATTTCTAGACAGCTTTAATAAAGTCTTTATCTTTAAGAGCAGGTAAGGAGGGGACTACCTCCTTAGTAAGGCTCAGAACAAATGCTGGACCACTTTGGTCTTACTCTCTAAAGGAGCAACCAATGATTTCCCCTCCCCAAAGCACACCGAGTACTATTGTTGAAGATTCGACTCAACTGCCAGTTTCTTCGTCAATGCAGAGCTGAACTGCTGGAGAGCGAGCCACTGAATACGCAGTCACTGGCAGGTGGAGAGGGGAAAAGGCGTCAGTAGACAAACCCCTGCAAGGATAGGCCTTTCCGTCTCTCGGTCATTTCCAGTCTCTTACAGGTCTCATTCGTGAATTAGGTCAAAGCAGCAGAGGAATGAAAATAGATCAGAATACAATTCACCGACACGAACTGTAAGAGTGTTCCAGTTTGTAGCCACCCCCTTCCTTTCCCCAGACTGAGGTTTCTTCCCAGCTGCTGTGTGGAAAAGACAATCGCTTTGCTTCCTAGAGTCAGGCTTGAATTGGGAAAATACTATGCAGCGAATCTTCATCCCTCTTTATTACATTCAATGTTTACGTTAACTTACTATTTATTAAGTGGTCCTGAGTACTGAACGTATTTATTAGGTATGGCACATTTTATTCATTATTGTTAGAAGTATTAAAAAATCGGGGAGACTTCACTTGCCTTTTTTATGTGTTTTTTTACTGTGGTAAAATATGCATAACATAAAATTTACCATTTAACCATCTTTAGCGTACAATTCAGTGGCATTAATTGCATTTCGCCTCCCTTCCTACATAGTCTATTCTCTAATTACACTCACACTATTAATACCTAAATAACCACACCCAGCACTTCAGTGTTGTTTTGACTACAAAAAAAAAATTCCTACAACAACAATAAGGTCGATGCTTTCGGAGGTGCCCTGACTCTGACGGATTCCCATCTTATTCAGGAGTGTCACAGTTTCCATTAACATTAAATTTCCCCTATATTCACTTCAGGTTTGTTTGGAGCCGGGTAATCATTGCCCATCTCTTCTCCTCCCCCTGCCCCCCGAACTGTGTGATCATCTCACCAGCTCAGACGATACTGGATCACCTGGGGCCAGAGCCAGGGCTTCTCCGGAAGTAACTGGGACAGTCAGGTATGAGGTGGTAACAGCAATTTCATAACAGTAACGAAAATGGAAAGCTTGGTTAGTTTTATTTTCCTGAGAAATGAAGAGTGGTCAGCAAATGCCCATAAGCTGTTTTCTAGCCCTTCTCTTTGAGCTTCAGTGCTCTCCCCCATTTCCCTGACAGTTCATTGTACCATGTATCCTGAAGTTCTCCTCTCCTAACATAGCATGCATGTAACGCATTTATATGTAACGCATTTATTCCTGTGTGTAGCCTAGGAAACGGGAAGTATCATTGCCCATTATCCTCTTTCTAAATATAGGAACTAACATATGAAAGGAGTGAAACAGGAAAATCACAATTAGAATCAGAAGTGAAATTAAATTATGTGAGATTAATGTCAAATTAATACTCTTCATAGAGGTAGAAAAATATTATTTCATCCTGAAGAAAATTATCTCAAAATTTATTTTACTTCCTGCCAGATTTCCAAGCATTGGTATATTGTGGTTAATAAAATATAAAACTATTGTGTCTCTTAAAATATGCAACAATACTAACTAGCTACAGCAGTGCACCTACATAATTTTCAAACTGCGTTAAAAATGACATGTAGCTTTTTTCTGTTATTGTATTTTTTTATTGTTGTTTCGTTACAAGTTGTCTTCATTTTTCCACGCTGCTCTCCCTTCTAACTTAAAGCACTGAAATGTAACTGACACTGCAAAGCTGCTTTTAACCACTAGAGGGCAGAATATGCTCCACATTTGTACTTAACTAATTTTAAATTACTTGACCAAAATAACGAAAACCACCACCCCCTCCACAACAAAAAGTCCCTAAGATCCTCTGGTTGCATACTGTATAATACACAGTATACTTAAGGCCCAGTCAACAACTTTAAAAATTTTAACTAATGTACAATCACCTACATTGAGCAGTTTACAAAAGGCAAAATTAACAATTTCGCAGCCTGAGTCTAGCTGCGAGTTAAGGGTGATTAGCATCAGGCAATCAGTATGTACTCAAGGAAAGGCAGACTTCGAACAAACTGCCACTGAGAACCAGCTGTATTCTTTCTATGTTCAAATATCTGCAATGGAATGCAAAGGTTGTATTTATTATAAAATTTAGATGGTCACTGAAGTTACAAGGTGATCAAATGTGACAATACTAACATTTCACTCTTGAATTTCCACATGTACCTTTTTTTTTTTTTACCACAAACCAACTGTAGATCTAACAGCGGCAAAGATGTTTTAGTTTCCTCTTAATGCATCTTTTGACCTAATTAACTTTTGTTTCCCTCCAAATTAGGCCATCTGCATTTCAGCAGCTAAAGCACTACTTTGTTTGATTAGAAACCACAACCTCTTCACTTTTTCACTCTCATTAATTAAAAGGCATCATGGTAAATTAAGCCGTTTGGGTTTCAGCCTGGATGGGTGACATTTTAACAACTGCGCCTTCAACCTTCTCTCGCTGTCAGTCTTGGCCATGCCCTACATCACAGGACAGCGCAAAAGCAATGGCGGCAGCCTGACAGAGGAGCGGAGCAGCCAGGGACCCAGGGGCGATACATCACCGAAGTCAGCAATTTCTCAGACGCAAGAGCCATTCACCTGCCAACCAAACTTGATAAGGCAGAAACCTTATAGGGTTATGCATGACCTTACCCAAAACACTAAATCATTTCTGAAGTCTCATTTCTTAATCTACGCAAACCTGCTCTCCCCACTTTTCAGATCTACGGGCCCTAGTCACTTTCACACTAATAAACACAAGGGGTATGGCTTGGAAAAGCTGGGGGACCAGGCAAAGCAGCAGTGCTACTTCTTTTGGGACTAAGGGAAGCAATGCACTTTTAAAATCAGGGCTAGTCATAGACGAGAAAGGGTTCTGTGTTATTGCCTGCTGGTGGGATTGGCAAGTTTCAAAGAAACTGCTCACAATCACAGCTGCCCTGTAACAGATCTAGCGTGAGCCAAGGAAAGGTGTGTGCGCACAGGCTGGGTGGTGGGACATGAGGAATATCACCCATGACATTTCTGCATGGACTGTGAAACTGTACTAATGGACTTCCAAAGCCTTATCAGTCTCCTTTTAACATTAATTCTGTGTTGGAAAGAAATACATGCACCAAGTTTAAAAAGCCATAAGAATTCTACAGGGCTTATAATTAGGGTGATGGCATCCCGTTTTGCAGGAACATTTCTGATTTACCCTCATTATTGCAGTGTAGTTTTAAGAGTGCCCCCTTTCATCCTTAAAAGTGTCCCAGATGAAATGAAAAACTACTGTCTCAAGCCCAACCTCATCACCCCTGGTTTCTATTCCCCAGGACCAACTACTCTGAATTTGTTTAGAATTTTTTTCTATATGACTTCAAATTTCTAAAACAAACAGGAAGCAAACAAAAAATGATTATATTACCTGTATTGGTTAAAAAATTGCCTTTGAATTCCAGGGGGTAGGGGATCAACTTAAATAGAAAGAGATGCCCAGAAGGTACATTGTTTGAACACTTACTCCTCTAAAAATGACTTCTCCTTCACACTTTGCTGAGATTTCATACACATACAAATTCTCAACAAAATGTTAGAATTTTAGATCAACAAACTGTAGGGGTAGGGAAAGAAATGTCATTGTTCACACATGGTACCTACATCTCCCTTCAAAGTCAGATATGGTGCTGTCAGCTGTTAACATCTTACTTACTCTTTAAACTTTATTGCAGGTATGTATATATGGGGAAAAAATAGTGTATACAGGGTTCAGTACTGTCCACAGTTGCAGGTATCTGCTGGGGCTCTGGAAACGTGTCCCCCACCCCCGGATAAGGGGGTACAACTACAATGTATTTACCCTAGGCTATGTAGATGTGATGATATTAAGTCCGTGTGTGTGTTGGGGGAGAGGTGTATGTAATTTTAAATCTTACAACACCCCTAAAAGGTAGATATTATCCTCATCTGACATGAGGAAAATAACTTAGGTTTGCCTGGAGATCAAAGCTATGCTCTTATCGCCTTTACTATCCTGATTTTCCTATCTTCCCTATGGAAAGTTCAATGTTCCCTCTTCCGTTCCACCCTTAGTGAAGTGCCTCGGTACTACAGCACTAATATTGCAATCCCTATTGGTTTACGTGATTCACCTCCCTCGATCTGGCCTCATTGTCCCCGATTAAAGCGAGGAGAGAGGAAGGACCGGTCGAACGCCCTCGTCTCACTAGGGTTTCCTTCCACCCCTTTTCCCTGGCCCTGCGCTCTTCCCCCGTTCAGCAGACACAAAAGAACGCTCCAACCCAGAGACACCGCTGGAACAGGTATCCCTGCAGGGAAAGGATGCCGCCGCCAGAGGGCGCCTGTGGGCTGGTCAGTGAGCGGGGGGGCGGGGCCTAGGGGGGTGGGTCCGGAGTCGAGGGCCTGATTGGAGGTGGATAAGCCTATTTCGCCCTCGCCCCCCCCACCCCGACGGAGCCTCCCGTCTTCTTTCCACACTTCCGGTTCCGCTTCCGATTCTCACTTGTCTGGGAGCTGCCGGGCTGGTTTCCTGCGAAACTTCCTCGCGCTGCCGGCCGCCCCGCAAGAATGCATTACCTAGTGCCACGGTCATGGTCGCCGTCACAGGCACCCACGACCCCACCCCTGGCCTCCTCGCAGTCCCTCTCTCTCCCTCACCCGCACCTGCCCGCAAGCTCCCCGGGGCCGCAGGTGCGGACGGCGGCGGAATTCCACGCTCCGCGAAGGCCCGCCAGCTCTGGGGAGGGGAAGGGGAGGCGTGGTCCGGTGCCGCTCCCAGGCTGATATCCCAGGTGCGTGGGAAACCCCGAGGTACCGATCGGCGGGGCCTCAGCTCCTGGGGCCCGCGGTCCTAGCCACCGCGTCCCCCTTCAAGTCCCAGAGAGGGGTGCGATTTTCACCCTTTGGGGTCCAGCTCACGCTTCACCACTGATTGATTACCCACCTCTCCGCAAATGACTTAACCTTGTTCAGGATACTCCAAACTTAAGAAGCTGTTAATTTGGTTGGATAATGAATCTCCCTACTTTTTAGAAAGGCAGCGAGAGGCTGGGGAAAGGGGTGGTGGCGTGATCAGCTAAGTTTTTTTGAATAGTTATGGTTACATTTGAGGCAAGAATGGAAGGTCAGCCCATGTCCGAGAAGTAGAGAGGTCTTGTGTGGACCTAGAGTACCTTGGAACATCTTCCACTTCGTGGATTTGTTTCCGTTGAAATTAATTTCCACAGAACTTCAGTTGCTATTTATTACTGATGTGACGTCTGGGGATCCACAGAGGAGCCCTCGGTGAGGAAGGAAGGCCCTGACTCTGCAGCGTTGGGCTGAACACTTCAGCGGTACAAAGCATGGCTCCTGCCTGCCCTGAGGGAGGAGCAGTGTGACAGGCACCCAGTCAGTCCACTCCCAAATCAAGCGTGCCCTCCTCTTTTCCAGGTCGTGCCTTTTTAGCCAAGAAGCATGGAGGTCATCCACCACGGGCCCTACTGCTGCAGGGAGCTGGAAGGCGCTGACATGCTGTCAGACACCTTTTACTCGAATGCGGTGCACACTCCGCTGCAGACGGCTACTCGCCCCACTGCCTCAGAGGACAGGTAAAACAATGGATTCATATATTTAGAGGTTTAATAGATTTATGTATTTTTATAGATGAGAAAAACCACTTAGGGTTATGGGGCTCTTCTGTTTATCACACCATAGGGAAGGCATAACGTGACAATCATCTAAAATCTTAACGTGCTCGCACCTGTTAGGAACTTGATAAAAAGTAGGTTGGTGTATGTTTTTAAAAGGAGACATCAAATTCATCCACTGCAGTCCAGAATTCTAGAATGATTGGTTCCTTCATTTGATAATTAATCTGTTTAATTTTTTTTTGTTTTGTAAGACCATCTGGGTAAAAAATACTCCCATAGTCTGTTGTTCATAGTTGCTGCCTGAATTTTTGCTTTACCACATTTCCTGTAACACATTAATTACAGGTTATGATTAAAATTGCTTCTAATATATATCTAGTTATTACTCTATGGGGACACTGTACCAAATGCTTTCTACAGAGTAACTCGTAATCCTCAAACAACCCAGTAAGGAAAGTATTATTATTACCCCCATTGTACATATGAAGTAACAGGGAAAACAAACTTTCCAAGATCTTAGTGCCAGCTTTTCTGTATTGTATTTCCTTAAATCATTTTGGGCGGGGCGGGGGGGGGGGTGGGGATTCTCAGAACATGTGGATGGTGAAAAACTAGCCTGTGTGGTTGTTTCCTTGTTTTTATTTTTTAATTTCACTTTACCAGACCTCTTATTTACGAATTCTTTCTTTAAGAAACCAGACAGAGAGTCACCTAGCCTCAGTTTAAACACTTGCAAACTGAGACCTCACTGCCACCCAGGCAGATCCATTCCAGTTCCGATTGCTGCTGATGGTTAATTTTCTTCCCATGGAGAACATTTTTCCTCCTTGTAAGTTCCACCTGCTGACCCCGGTTCTTCCCTCTGAAGGCATGCAAAATAAGGAAAACCAGCGATTTCCAGGACAGCAGCCCTTGCTCAGAGTTCCCTTTGCAAGGCTGAACACTGCTCTCAGCAGACATTCCGACAGCATCTTCTTTCTTCTCGCATCTAAACTTTCACCGTCCTGATCAGACGTGCAGGGCCTGTTCCGGTTTGTCCACATGCTCTTTACATGAAAAAGGGAAAAAACAGCTAGTTATAAAACTAACCCATTCCTTGTGAACAATTTAGAACTCATGGAAATCCACACAAAAAAAAACCACATGTTTTTTCTGACAGAAAAATTATGAAATTAAAGCACAAGGAAGAAAACCTCTGTACTTCCTTTGTTGACCACTGTTAACATCTCAATGTGCATTCTCTGCATTCTTTTTCACTTAAAGATCATATTCAACTTATTTTTTGGAAACTGCTATTTTCATATCTGTGGGGAAGAGGGTTCAGCTCACTTCTACTGAGTCAGTCCTTGCTGCACCTGCTTTTCTACTATGACCTGATTCCAAAAAGTGGCTGTCTGCCCAAAATTCCTACTCAGCTCCAAGGGCTAGTAGATTACCCAGAGCTTCCCTGGAGTCCGAGGGGACCCCTTACCAGGTCATGTGTGGTCTGGGGATGAGCAGGTGACCCTGGCTCATAAGCAGCATTGTGAGGTTTTCTACTTGGCCAAAAGGGACCTGAGTAGGACTTTAGGGTGGCCATATCTGATTGGTTCTTTATCCCCTCACAAGTCCTCATCCAGCCTGGCTGGCTGTAGCTCAGTGGGTTGAGTGCCAGCCTGAGACTCCCAGTCAGGGCACCTGCCTGGGTTGCAGGCCAGGTCTTCAGTGAGGGGTGCATGAGGGGCAACCACACGCTGATGTTTCTCTCTTTCTCTTTCTCCTTCCCTTCCCTCTCTCTAATAATAAATACATAAAATCTTTTTTAAAAAAGTCCTCATCTAAGGCTTTTCACTGAAATTTTGATCCCTTCTATCTAAATTGTTTTATGGTTGGTTAGTATTTGGTTCCAGACCCCTTTACTGGCATGAAATCAAGAGATGCATCTTTGAGAAAGTAATTGTTTTTCATTTACTGACTATAAAATTAAACACATGTTCTGTTACCTATAAATGACAGCAGGTATTATTTGAAGCAATACCTACATACAACCATGTCCTTACTCCTAAATACTAAAACTTCCTTTCTCCTTTCCTCCATGCGGCTTCTTTCCTTTCATCGTCCCTAAATGGCAAAGCCACAATGATCATGTATCCTCACAACTCCTCCTATTCACTCCCTCCCTCTTAAGACCCAGCTGGGCAGCTTACAGAAACAGGAAGTTCGCTCGTCTCCTGAGCTGCTCTGGAAGGTGCCATCAGGAGCACTTGACTGGCATCTCTGCGTATCAATGCTGACGCCGATTTCTTCAGACCCGATTCAGGCCCAACGACTCCAGACTCAAATCTCAAAAGCGAAACAAAACAAAAAGCTTCCGGCTTTTAGGAAGCACCCTTCATAGTGGTGAGGGTGAACATGGGGCCTAGTACACTCAACTCTCAGCAGCTTAGTCTTCCAGACATGGATGTGCTGAAAGGGATGCCTTTTTTAAATATCATAATGTACTTTGAACTCAGTTAATCGTCTTCATAGCAACGCAAAAGGATTTGCTCACATCAGCCTACTTTCTTTTTTCTTTCCGGAATAGGCAACACAGTATAGCACCATTGTTCCCCACCGCTGGGGTGCAGACAGGGTGCAGCAAAATCACCTGAGAAGCTTTCTAACGCTGCGGGCTCCCAGGCTCTGTCTGCAAATATCCTAGCTCAGTAGGTTTCAAGTGGATCTAGGGAATCTGCATTTTTAGAAGTTTTTTCCAGCTTATTTTGAGAACCACTGGGCTAGTAGAAAGCACTGAAAACAGGAAGAAAACGAGGATGATGGTTCTGGCTTTCCCGTGGTCCTAGGGCAAGTTAATCTTCATGCTTCGGTTATTCCTTTGCTGGTAAATTTTGAGGTAATTACAGTAGTCACTGGTATATATATTCAGTTAATTGCCTCTTAAAATATCAACAAGTAGGTGGCATTCTTTTGTATTTCTTCCACTGAAAATTTACGAATGGCAGGCAAGCTATGCAGTATCACAAACGTCTCTCTCCTTTTTCCATGTAGTTGACATCTCCTTACCTCTAGCAAGTTCTCCAGCTCATTAGGCAAACAAACATATCAGTGAAGGAATTGTCTTGAGAATTGCTTTAGAGTTCATTATATGTTCCCATTTTGTTTCTGGATTCATTCCATTGCTTTCTGATTACCAAATATTTTTTGACTATTAGCTCTCCGCCAACTAAAAATGAGAGTATCCGATAATTACTGGCTAACTCCAGCCCCCTGAGACCGAACTGTAATGTTCAGAATTCTTTAAAGTGACATCAAAGAGAGAACTTGGTTCACCCACGGGGAGTACATCTTTCTTAAAAACAAGTAAACACTTAATTTTATGAGATTACAGATTGTAGCCCTAATGATCTGTTATTTTCTTTATTATGGAGACATGTATGACTTCAGCTTTAAAATTATTCCTAAAACTTGAATATTCATTTTAATGAGTTTCTTCTATAAAATTATTATTAAGGCAAAGGGTGAAAATGTGAGACGCTAAAAGAAAAGGGAAATGGGATTTATTTTTGCTTCACCTTTTATTTTAAATGTCTTCCTGCAACTTACTGGCTCCAGATAGCTGCCTGCCCGAAAAATTCATTAACATTTCTACTGGCCAGTCTCTCTAGGACAGCGTAATTTATAGGGGTCAGGTGTTCAGAAATTGACTCACCTAATTTAAATGTAGCCTTTAAGAACTTAGATATTAAAGCTTAGGTTGTCATTAATCAAATGCATTTAAATTGTTTTCACTTCCCCAAACCATGACTGCTGGTTGTGGTCACAGTGCTGGTGGCGGCCTCCGAGGTCTGAGAGTGGAGAGTGGAAGGGACGGTGGTCCCTTCTGCAGCACCCCACATGAAGGTCTCCCGGCTCTCCTTGACCAGCTCCTGCAGAGGTCGGCAAACTTCTTCCGTAAAGGACCAGAGAGGAAATATTTTAGGTTTGGCCATCTCTGTCAAACAACTCAACTCTGCTCTTATAGGGCAAAGACAGCCGTAGACAATAGGCAGTACATAATGAATGGCCGTGGCTGTATTCCAATAAGATCTCACTTACAAAAACAAGCAGTAGGTTGGATTGGGCCTACGGGCTGTAGTTTGCCAACCTCTATTAGTGACTTATGAGATAAAGCATTCTATTTATAAGACAGTCATGAGTGTCAGTTCTTCATTCCCACCAGCATATTTACAGGGAATTACCTTAAGCCAAGTGCCGTCTGCTACAAAGAAAGAAGGAGCTCCACGGTCCATACCTCTCTCTCTGAGCTCCTCTCCCACGGTTCTCACTGGCTCCCCACTGCCCATACATACAATCCAAAAGGCTTATAAGGGCCCATAGGATATCATTCGTGCTTCCCCCCTTGCTTTCCCTCTCACTATAGCTCTTCTCTACTGCGCCTCAAGTTCCTGGATTCTCTGTCAGCTCCACTGATTTAGAACAAAATTGAACTCTGTTTTCTCATCTCTTAAGATCTAGATAATGTTCACTCAGATCTTTATTCCATACTGTCTGGATTTCCAAAGCCTTTCTCAAAATGTATTCTAATTCCCAGGATGGGCGTAGGGGACAGTCATTACTGACTTTGAGCTCCTGGTTTCACTTACACTCTTTCAGTTCAACAACATTTTGACCCAGACGTGAAAACCAGTCATTCTTTAGTTTCTTCGAAGACCTCATCCACACAGAGCATTTGTGAGCCTGGTAAATGTCACTGATCAGTTAGGCGTTAGAGGAAGAATCACATCACACCACACAACGTAACTTAAAGCCCCTTACTAGCCATAACTTCCATGCTCTTCAAGTCCTTTAGCGCGGCTGTCACCAGGGTTCTCCTGCTGCTCTGTCCTGCTAGCTTCTCTCTTCCCCTCCCTTTGCTCCCCTTTTGTCTCCCTCTGACAAGAGCCAGACACCAAATCTCTCTCCCTTCTGAGCAGCGTAATGTCTGAAGTTGCTGTGTCTCTTACCAACACCCATAACTGCAGAATCTCTGCCATTACACCAAGTGGCCTAACAAAATATTTTATCAAACAAAGAAAGTTTTCCCTAAGGATTCTGGAGCCCACATTGTCAGGAATTTTCAATTTTATAAATTTTCTAACATGTAGGTCTTTTCACATGTTACTCCCCTACCTAGAATCTTCCCTCTCTTCCACCTAGATGTCTTACTCATTGTTTGGACTCATCTTAGGCAATGATTCCCCCAAGAACCCTTCCTTCAGAAAGAAATCCAGTTGGTCCTGCAAGGTTCCAGGGAGTATGCTACCCATCCTAAAGTTCTTAAATCCAAGGTCAAGTGATGAGCAGATACAGACTGTGCAGAAGAGACTGCAGAGCTGGTTTACTTCTGACTCACTTTTAACATGAAAGGGTAGCCTTTTGGGGTCCCAGCTTATTTTGGAGATGGTCTCCTTTAGGTTGCTCACCTGGCTGATATCTGTACCCCTCACCCTGCAAACTTTTATTTCTGCAAAATAAAAGTTTGCCAGAAGTGACACTGCCCTAAGGTCAAAAGAGTTTTCTGTGCCCATTTCCCTCTCTGGATTCCCATTTACACTCTTAGGATGCTCTCTCTGCTCTTCCCTTCTGACTTGTTAACAACCAGCTGCTTTTAATAACATGTTTTGTTTTGTTTTTTCTTTTCAGCATTGTTTTGTCTTCTCTAGGCCAATCAATAAGGTCAAATAGAAATAGAATTCAACTTCCCCAAGAAAATTTAACCTAAAATGCATTTGGTTCCCTTTTTAAGATTTTTCATATCATTGTCCACTCTCAAGAAAAACTACCTAGTCAATAAATACTTCTTGAGCATCATGTCTTTGCAAAACACTGACCTGTATATCCTGGGGATTCTGCAGTGAGTGTGGCAGACACCTTGTCTGTAGTGGCTGGTCCTTATTTTGCTCTGCAGTGGCAACTGTGATGAATCAATGTTCTTTATTCCCTAGACATTATACTCTTCATCTCTTGGTGATAGGTAACTATTTTATTATAAAAGGATATAACCTAGGAACAGCCAGATGGAAGAGATGCATAGGGCAAGGCATTGTGGGAAGAGGCACAGAGCATCGTGCTTGAGCACGCTACTCTCCCTACATCTCCTTGTGTTCACCAACACAGAAGCTCCCTTATCAACATTTTTAGTTGTTTTCAGTGGGAAGGTTGGTCCAAATAATCTAGACTGCCATTACTAGAAACTGGAAGTCATTAAATCCTTCCTAATTAGGAAGCAGATCTTTCGCCATAGTCTTAAGTGTTTTGTGAGACCATCTTCCTAGCCTGAATCTTTCATTACTGTGTCATTGGCTGCAGCCCTAGAGACAAATCCATCTCTTTGATTCTTGCCCATTCATTTATGTATGCATGCATTCAACAGACATCCATTTACTACCATCCTTTAGTACTCCATAAAGTACCTATATAGGAGGTATATATAGTACCTCCTATATAACGTGGACACAACAGGGAACAAGGTAGGGTCCCTGCCCTTCACGTCCTTGTTAAGAAAGCAGAAAGAGGCCTCTGAAGTACCAGCCTTGTTAGGAAATGTCCGTGTCTCCGGCCCATGGAATGGTGCAGTTGTAAGGGGTTGGACTTCTGGAGACCTGATTTCTGGGAAAGGCAACTGCTGAATAAGGAGATGTTTCTAAAACTTTAGTATGTGTAGGAATTATCTGGAGGGCTTGTTATAACAGATTACTGGGCTCCAGCCACAGAAATTCTGATTCCTAGGTCTGAGGTGGAGCCTGAGAATTTGTATTTCTAACAAGCTCTTAGAAAATGCTGATGTTGCTGGTTCGTGGTCCACACTTTGAGAATCACTATTGAAGAAGCTCTAGACAGAGCTTAGGAACAAGTGTTTCTGCATCTTTATAGTACTCTGCATTTTTTAATATCAAAAGATCATCTGTAGCCAAGACCAACCAATGCAGGAAGAATAGTCTTTTCAACAAACGGTGCTGGGGCAACTGGAGATCCACATGCAAAAGGATGAGATTGCACCCTCATCTCACATTGTGCATAAAGAGAACTCAGCACGGGTCAGAGACCTGAGCAGAAGAGCCGAAACTCAAAAACCATTAGAGAAAAACAGGGATGAATCTCCATGATCTTGGATTTGGCGATATAGTCTTAGATATGACACTAAAAGCACAAGCAACAAAACAAAAAATAGATAAATTGGACTTCATTTAAATTAAAAACTTGGACTTCAAAGGATGATATAAAAAATGAAAAGGTAACATATAGAAAAGGAGAAAATATTTGCAAATCCTATCTCTGATAAGAGACTTGTATCAAGAATATATAAAGAACTCGTACATCTCACTAATAAGACAACCCAGTTTAAAAATGGCCAAGGATCTGTGCATTTTTTCAAGGAACATATACAAATGGCCGGTAAGCACATGAAAAGATGTTCAACATCATCAGTCATTAGGAAAATGCAAGTCAAAACCACAAAAAGATACCACTTCACATACACTAGAATGGCTTTAATTTTTTTTTTAATTAAGAAGTGTTGGCAAGCATGTGAAGAAACTGGACCCCTTGTACATTGGTGGTGGTAGAAATTTTCTACTGTGGAAAACAGTTGGACAGTTCTTCAAAAAATTAAACAGAATTATTGTGTGACCCAGCATTCCACTGCTAGGTATATACCCAAAAGAATTAAAAAACAAGTATTCAAACAAAAACTTGCACATAAGTGTGTAGAGCAGCTTATTAATGGTAGCCAAAAGGCAGAAACAACCCAAATGTCCATCAACAGATGAATGGATAAAGAAAATATCTTATAGCCATAAATGGAATAGTATTCAGCCATTAAAAGGAATGGACTACCAATATGTGATATAGTCACAAAAGACCACATATAGATTTCATTTACGTGAAATGTCCAGAATAGGCGAATCTAGAGAGATAGAAAATAAAATAGTAGTTGCTTAGGGCTGGGTTTGGGAGGGGGAAGTGGGAGGAAGACAGCTAAAGAATACAAAGTTTCTTTTTGAGGTGATTTAAGATGTCCTAAAATGATTGTGGCAATAGTTGTACATATTTGTGAATATACTGAAAACAATTTAATTGTATGCTTTAAATGCATGGATTGTGGGCCATGTGAATTATATCTCAATAGAGACATTTAAAAGACATGAGCATACTTACTACAAATGCAAAAATAAAAATAATCCGTAGGCCCTCAGGAATTTAACCTCATTCCTCCAGCAATCCAATGGTGCCTAAATAACCAGTATCTATCATAATCTACTTAGCACTGCAGATTCTGCCTGTGTTCTAAAGAATGTGCTATAAAAATAACTTCAAAGCTATGGGAATTTTAGTTGTTTGCCTTAGTCCATTTGGGCAGCCATAACAAACACCCGCAGACTGGGTAGCTCATAAACAACACACACTTACTTCTCAGCGTTGTGGGGGCTGGAAGTCCAGGACATGGCACCGGCAGGGGCCTGTTCTGCTGAGGGTCTTCCTCCTGGTCCATAGCAGGCACCTCCGTGCTGTGCCCTCAAGTGGTGGAAGGGGCCAGCAACCCCCTGGGGTCTCTTTTCTGAGAGTATTCGTCCCGCTCATAAGGGCTCCACCTGTGCGAGCTAGCCACCTCCTAAAGGCCCCGCCTTCTCGTACCATCACTTTGGGCGTCAGGATTTCAACACATGAATTTGGGGGGACACGAACCTTCAGACCACACAGTATTCCATGCTGAAGCTATTGAAAGTCTCTCTTTTTTCACAGGTATCAGGACTTCAGGGAGTCGCTCCAGCAATGTAGGCTCCCCTGGGGCGCTGACAGGGAGCACGGTGGGGTGATCCCCACTTCCTTCCCTGAGGAGCTCAGGCCAGAATATCGCGTCCCGGGCAAGGGGCATCAGCACTACGGATCCGGTGCAGAAACCTGGTCAAGGTAAGTAATCCTTCTGCCTTTCACATCAACGTATCAGTATTCACTTTATTTCTAATGTGAGTCCTTTTTAACTTCCTCTGCCTCCAAACTTACTTCTTTTACTATTTATAAGAAGACACAGATGGAAAAATTAATCATACAATTTCTAATTGTGAAGTCAGTAAAAAAAAAATCTGTGTTTATGGTTGTCTTTCTGTCCTTAGAGGTGTTCAAGTATTATGATCGGAAATTTGGATTAATTTAATTGCCTCGCCAATCACATTTTATCTAAAACTAAATAGGAATATTCCTGCGAGAGATTCAATTAAAAATATGTTTGCTCAGACAAATAGCTGGTCTAATGTATGCAGAAGTTCTTGATTTGGGGGGACTTTTGATTTCTAATTTGTTCATCAATCTATGAACTTCTGCATACATAATCTATAATTATGAGAACCTGTTGAGCATTGTTTTCAATTACTAAAATATTTCAGTAATCATTTATAAATCTTGAAGTCACTCTTTCAGCAATTTTATTTAAAACACAGATTAAAACTGAAGAGAAAGGGAAAAAAACCTAAGCAGCAAAGAAAATGTCACATTAATTATTTACTAAAAATTATGAAATTCAGTCAAAATAAAATCTGTCAAACCTCCACACAATCCTGGTTACCTAGCTTACTGACTGTCTAGTTTGGTTTGTTGTTCTAAAGCCGTCAAGAGAAATTAGGAAAGAAAAGCCACAGCTAGACAGAGAGAGACGGTGACCAGAGGGGCACATGGCAGCCGATGACCCTTGCAAAGCCTCCGTACAGCCGTCCGAAGCAGACGAAGGGGAAGGTGGTCACCCCCACAGGGAAGACCCAGGGTCTCAGCAGGGCCTGCACCCAGCCCCAAGCCGGGGTCTCCGTGGGATGTTCAGTCCTGACGTTCAGTTACAGACTCGTCCCGACAACCCACATGTGTGCCCTTGCTGAACCACCACTAACACACCCTGTATGAAATAACCAGGAAAAAGGAGAAGAAAAATTAGTTAATATATTAAAGTGTACAGGACATAGTGAGGAAGAAAATATGGGATGTGACTATAGTGCTTGTTTCTACAGCTGGCCTGAGGCTCTTGTTGGTAGTACAGTCTCCTTGCCCTCAGCCCGAACCTGAGCTGGTAGGAGTTCATTATCATTATCCGGGGAAGGTGGGGCAACCCCAAATTCTGTTTCTGAGAGATCTAAACTTTTAGCGTGAGGTTGCCACAGTATTCCATTCACTTGATGCCCCTGGAAACAATACTAGGAGGTGTCCAAAAAACTCTTTAGGCTCTATAAATACTTCTTTCACACTCCCATCATTGTATATCAGCAGTCCTTTGCCCTGGACTTGAAGGATCAACCACCCGAGCCTACTTGGTACAGTCCTTATCTGCTTTCTCCAGAGGCAGAACGAGCCCCAGGTTACCACATTCTCAGTTCAACTTCCAGGTCAGTGGGGCCATTGCTGTGTTCTCTGATAAAAGTATTTCACCCTTGACCTCTAAACCAGCAAAGACCCAGGCTGTGGAGGAAGTTTACTTCTCAAGTGTAACAGAAATGAACAGCGAGAGGTGTCATCCCCGCTTTTACTCTTTGCTTTTTCAACCGTGCGTTCTGGCTTTGCGGGAAACTGTTTGTTGGCTATTGCTTCAGAGCATGTGCCACACTCAGCCATAACTGAATCTTCGATAGCTATTCTGCCGTTCTGTATATCTGAAAAGACCAGTGAATCCTTTAATTCAACCATTGCCTCATTTCCTGTGTGGTAAATTACTTAAGTCCAAAGTACTGTCGTTTAAGTGGCATGCAGTGATTAAGGCATTCGGGAGTCCACCAGTGAGATGACCGGCAGGAGTATGGTGAGACGGGAAGGGAAATCCATGTTTGCAAGTGTCTGGTCCTGTGACGATAAATCCCCTCTCATGGTGGAAGGGTCCAGGGTGATCAGCCTCCCGCTGGATGGCTGACTAGGCCGCCCAGGGAGATCTTTCTCTCTGCGGTATTTAGGGTCGGTGACTTCTGGCAAACTCAAATGTGGCCAGGTCCATTCTGATGAGGGTGAAGTTCATGTTGATGAGTCCACCCAAAACGACTTCTGTCTCTGCCGCCATGCTAACTCAGTTTACGGACCCACTGAGCGAGCACTGGGGTGACCAGAGAAAGCCGGACTGATGTGCACAGAGGTGCTCATTTTACCTACGTCATTGATCAGAACATTCTCAATCAGGGTTTTCTGGGTGAGCATTCTGTGGGGTACAAAAAACCCTCACACTCTACGGCCTTTCTTACAGGCTAAGAAAGCAAGCTTTTGGCATCTACATTGGGGGGGATGAGATGTAAGGTGGGTGTTCAAAAGATAACGGGCAGCCGCAAGGGACAGTTGAGTGCTACAATCTATTAAAACATTACAAGCACCAAGAGTGAAGGTTTCGGGTGATAACGTGTTCATGTAGGTTCATCAGTTGTAACCAATAGACACTCCGGTGGCAGATGTTGGCCGTGAGTGAGGCTAAGGATGTGCCAGGGTAAAGTGGATATGGGAAATCTCTCTCCTTGCCTCTCAACTTTGCTGGGAAATGAAAACTGCTCTAAAAAATTACCTTTTAAAAAAAATCTACGAGGTCTAGCCTCCTTTGACCACCGCCCCACCAATCCCAGTCTCTTTCCCAGAGAGAACTGCAGACACCATTTTGGTGAGTCTCCTTGAGTCACTCCTTGTGTTGTGCATTTACATAATCATGCAGGCACCCATTGAAAATACATTGTGTTATTTTATGTGTGGATATACTTAATATATAGTATGAGGCAAGTTAGTTCTTTTTACCACTATATAATCCAGCCATTATAAATACAGATCTACCTCATTCTTTTTAATTTCTCATAGTATTCCACAATATGGATATGGCATAAATTATTTAGCCATTCTCGTAGTTTTTCCCCCATTTTTGGTTTTTCGTTTTGTTTTGTTTTGTTTTTCGCAGTAACTATAAGTAATGAATGAGCTCAAACAATCCTGCTTGAGCTCATACTCAGATGTTTCTCCGGGGAAAGTCCTAAGTGGAAGTTATGGATCACAATATATAAATGTTTTTAATTTCAGTAGATATAGCCCCAGTGCTTTATATTCTCTTGGTAGTGGCTAAAAGTATCCGTTTCCCCATACTCTTGGCCAACTGTACTATGGTATCAAACAGTACAATTTTTGCCTATCTAATGAGTATATTGTTTATTAGAATGTGTTTCTCTGCTTAGGTTGAGTACTTTTTTTCTTAGGTATTGCCATTTACACTTTCTTTTCTGTTCTTTTTTTCCATTTTTATTGCTTGTCTTTTAGATGTACATTCTTAGTTGTTCTTTATGTTCTGTATATTAATCCTTTACATACCTTCATTGCAAGTATTTCTTCCAATCTGTATTTTATTTGAGATTTTTATGCTGTCTTTACATTTTTCCTTTTTTAAGTATATTTTATTGATTATACTATTACAGTTGTCCCATTTTTTCTCCCCTTTCTCCCCCTCTGCCCTGCACACCCCTTCCCTTCAGCATTCCCCCGTTAGTTCATGTGCATGGGTTGTACATGTAAGTTCTCTGACTTCTTCATCTCCTACACTATTCTTAACCTCCCCCTGTCTATTTTGTTCCTACCAATTATGCTTCTTATTCCCTGTACCTTTTCTCCCCATTCTCTTCCCACCCCCACTCCCCACTGATAACCCTCCTTGTGATCTCCATTTCTGTGATTCTGTTCCTATTCTAGTTGTTTGCTGAGTTTGTTTTTATTTTTAGGTTTGGTTGTTGATAGTTGTGAGTTTATCATTTACTGTTCATATTTTTTATCTTCTTTTTTTTAGATAAATCCCTTATTAACATTTCATATAATAAGGGCTTAGTGATGATGAACTCCTTTAACTTGACCTTATCTGAAAAGCACATTATCTGCCCTTCCATTCTAAATGATAGCTTTGCTAGCTAGAGTCATCTTGGATGGAGGTCCTTGCCTTTCATGACTTGGAATACTTCTTTCCAGACCCTTCTTGCCTGCAAGTTTTCTTTTGAGAAGTCAGCTGATAGTCTTATGGGAACTCCTTTGTAGGTGGTAACTGTCTCCTTTTCTCTTGCTGCTTTTAAGATTCTCTCCTCATCTTTAATCTTGGGTAATGTAATTATGATGTGTCTTGGTGTTTGCTTCCTTGAGACTCTCTGAGCTTCCTGGACTTGCATGTCTATTTCCTTTGCCAGATTGGGGAAGTTTTCCTTCATCATTTTTTCAAATAAGTTCTCAATTTCTTGCTCTTCCTCTTCTTTGCACCCCTATGATTTGGATGTTGGAACCTTTAAAGTTGTCCCCAAGGTTCCTAAGCCTCTCCTCATTTTTTGAATTCTTGTTTCTTCATTCTGTGCCAGTTGAATGTTTATTTCTTCCTTCTGTTCCAAATCTTTGATTTGAGTACCCATTTCCTTCCTTTTACTGTTGGTTCCCCATATATTCTTTATTTCACTTTGTATAGACTTTACTTCTTCCTTTATTTTGCACCTGTACTCAATCATTTCTGTGAGCATCCTGATTACTAGTGTTTTGAACTCCGTATATGATACGTTGGCTACCTCCTTGTTGCTTAGTTTTTCTTCTGAAGTTTTGATCTATTCTTTTATTTGGGCCATATTTCTTTATCTCAGTGTGCCTGTTACATTGTAAGGGGCAGAGCCTTAGCTATTCGCCAGGATGGGGCAACCCACACCGTTGCGTTGTGGCACACTGTACATAAGGAGAGGGGTCAGAAAGGGAACAATGCCACTTGCTTGGCTCTCACCCTGGTTTCAGTCGCTTTCCTCGCTTCCCACAAGCAGATTGTGCCCTTTAAGGTGCTGATTCCTGGATGGGTGGGTTCATGTATGTTCTAGGACCTCATGGGTCTCTGCAGTGAACTCTCCTGTGAGGCTGGTAGTTTCTCCTGCTGCCTCAACCTCCATAGTTTTTTTACAGCCAGAGGTTTTGAGGCTTTATTTCCCTGCACTGGAACCCTGGGTTGCATGGTCCGTCTTGCTCCCCAGTTGTTCCTCCTGGCTTATCTGCACACGAATGTGCAGCCACTCAGTCTGCCAGCTGCCTACCCTGGTCCTCCAGCCGTCTTTAGCATGTCCTCCCACCGGACTTTCCATCTCCACCCCTCCTACCAGTCTGGATGAATGTTTCTTTAATGCCTTCATTGTCAGGCTTCCACACAGTTCGATTTTCTGGCAGTTCTGGTTGTTTTTGTTTTTAAATTGGTAATTATCCTTATTTCATGCAAGGAAGTGAAGCTTACCTACCTACACCTCCGTCTTGGCCGGAAGCTCCTGAAACTTCACATTTTTTAAAAGAAAAATCTTATTTAAAATGTTTTTCCTACCAAGACAAAAAAATATTCTTGTATATTTTCTTTTAATATTTGTCTGTATTTCCCAATTCTTTAGATTTTAATCCACCCAAAATTATCTTTGTGAGTAGTACAAAACAAAGATCTATTTTTTTTTCAAATGGCTAGTGAATTTTTCCTGCATTGTTTATTTTTTCTTTTCTTTTTTATTGAATTTCTTGGGGTGATATTAGTTGACAAGATTATATAGGTTTCGGGTATACAATTCTACAACACGTAATCTATATATTGTATTGCATTCACCACCCCAAGTCAAGTCTCCTTCCATCACCACTTATTCCCCCCTTTACCCTCTCCTACCTCCCTCAACTCTCCTTCCCTCTCCTGTTTATTGAAAAGTAAATCCTTCTCTGCTGATTTAAAATATCTCCTTTTCATAAGCTGAATTTCCCTATACATATAGTTGTGTTAATCTATTTGTCTTTTCCTATCTCACAATTATAATGTATTAATTTGAAAAGATGTTCAATTTAATCTTTTCTTTCTTTTCAGAAAGCTTCCTATTGAACAATTCTATTATTTGACACAGAACAAAAAAAGTGACATCTATGCAAACGATTCATTGTAAGTTTTGGGTTTATTTTCCTTATGTAAGATCAAATAACATTTTTAAGTGAAAATGAATTATATGAGAAATAAAAAAGCCCCAAAATGGAAACTTTTAGAAAATACAAAAGTGTTCCTTTTTTTTAAAATAGAGAGTATTAATAATAAAAACAAAGACCAAACATATGACAAAAATAAAACAAATAAACCTAAAAGACACTAATTGTTTGTGGTATTTAAACAAGTAAAGAGAAAAATGGATATATGGAAGAGTAATGTTTGAAGGAATTCATACAGACCATCTTGGTCATTTCTCTGCCTTTGACCTAGTTACTCAGTCTAGTGGGAATATGACTTTAAGTGTTCACAGAAAATGCCCCAGTGCCCTCAACACAATGTTTAATTAGACTTTTATAAGATGTTCATTATGGTAACCTACAAATCACTTAGTAACATTATTCCCTAAGTCTCTTTTGGATAAGGAATACTTGGTCATTATTTTTTACTTGTTGAAATAGTTTGTTGTATATAATATAAAAATCATACTTTTTAATATCCAGATAAAAATAAAATACTGACAATATTGAAGTAACAATGAAAATATCCCTTCTTTGCTTTTAACTATTAGAATTATTAGGAATCTGTTTATAGGTAAGAAGTTAATATAGATCTTCGCCACAAGAGGGAGCCAAAAAGACATATTTGTGGTTACCAAAGCTCGTTTATCCCTTTGGGATTAGTGAATTTGGAAAGGAGATACGGAGTGTAGCAGTAAAACACTGGAATGATTCAGGTCAAGGAACTGGTGTCTCTAAGCCTGTTTTCTTTTCATTTATTTCATTTCAAACTTTGAGGGTTTCTTTTTTTAGAAGCTTTCCTTTTACTTTAAAAAAAAAATTTCCACTTTGACTCAAATCAACTTTAGGCATAGACTTGTCAATATCATAGTTAAATTTGTCACACCAAAAATTTTTGCACGCTGACCTAATGTTTCATAAATAACAGCCAATCTAGTAACTCTAGATCCCTTGGATTTTTATATTCATTGTCCCACCTTCCCCAATTCAACCAGAAATATAATTAGAAGATGAAACTTTTTTTTACTTCAAAATCCATCAGCTTAGAATCCAAATAAAGAAGGATATAAACATTTTGTGGTTTATCTGTTAATAATATAGACTAATAAAATTTAAGGTTAATATACCATTTTCTAAACAGAGAAACATAAAAAATTAAAGAGTATATGCAATTTTACTGATCTTTACTGTCAACTGATTAACAGTTGACAGTTCTGTTCATTTTTTATGCCTGAAATATTTCAGAAATATTTGAGTAATTTGAAACTAACTGTTAGAATCTGATGGACGTGGATGGCAATCCTTCCATAGTGTGGGCTTTGTTCCTGGGCGGCGTAATTAGTACATAAATACACAGCCTTCAGATGAATGCAGAAAAGGCATACCTTCAGAAGCTTGTGGGTCTTGTCCTAGCCTCTCTGTCAACTGGGAGAGATCAGCAATCCTAGGCAAAAGGTCAAAGAACATACAGTACTGATATATCTTCTCCAGCCAGGCCACACTCAGGTGACTTTAGGTCATGTAATTGCACCACATGCATGGTGGCAGGCTGCCTCAGAGAACTTTTACTACCACCTGACTATGAGGGTGAATGTCACAAAACCAGAGCTCTCTTATCATTAGAAGCAGGCAGTTCTAACTGCACTGCAAATAAGAAATGCAGAACAGAACACCTACTACATTAGGCCACTCACCAAGCCTGGGAGACATAGCAGCTGTACCCAGTACATAGAAACACAGGGAGGTGGCCAAAATGAGGTGACAAGAAACATATCCTGAATGAAATAACTGAACAAAAAGCCAGGAAAAAAATGGAGACAAGTAATCTACTCGATACAGAGTTTAAAACACTGGTTATAAGACTCAAGGAACCTAGTGAGGACCTCAACAGCATAACAAAGGACCAGTCAGAAATAAAGGATATACTAACAGATATGAGGAATAATTTATAGGGAATCAACAGTAGAGTAGATGAAGCTGAAAATCAAATCACCAATTTGGAACACGAGAAAGCAAAAACACCCAATCAGAACAGCAAAAACAAAAAAGAATCCGAAAATATGAGGATAGTGTAACAAACCATCTAGGATAACCTCAAGCATACCAACATTCACATCATGGAGATGCCAGAAGTAGAAGAGATACAGGAAGAAATTGAAAACCTATTTGAAAAAATAATAACAGAAAACTTCCCTAACCTGGTGAAGGAAATAGACATACAAGTCCAGGATGCACAGAGAGTCCCAAACAAGATGAACCCAAAAAAGGCCCATACCAAGACACATCATAAATAAAATATTGGGTTGGCCAAAAAGTTAATTCAGTTTTTCTGTGAGATGGCTCTAGTTGTGCTTAGTTGTCTTTAACTTCATTTAAAACAATTTTGTTAGATTGTATTGTGACAGCTGTCATATCAGCATGCATTTAAAACATCTTGTCAAAATTGATAAATTTTTGTGTAGCCATTTTAATATTGAAGATGGAAGAAAATATGCAACATTTTCAGCATATTATGCTTTATTATTTCAAGAAAGGTAAAAACACAACTGAAACACAACAAAAGGTTTGTGCAGTATATGAAGAACGTGCTGTGACTGATCAGACACGTCAGAAGTGGTTTGCAAAGTTTCATGCTGGAGATTTTTTGCTGGACAATGCTCTATAGTCCAGTAGAAGTTGATAGTGATCAAATCAAGCCATTAATTGAGGACAACCAACATTATACCATGCAGGAGATAACTGACATACTCAAAACATACAAATCAATAAAGTTATTGGTGAAAATGAAAAATATATTTCATTTTTTCATAAAAACTAAACAGACTTCTTGGCCAACACAATAAAAAAGGTTAAAGACAGAATGAATCTTGAAACCAGCAAGAGAAAAACAGTTGGCTATCTACAAAGGTGCTCCCATAAGACTGTCAGCTGATTTCTCAACAGAAACTTTTCAGGCTAGAAGGATTGGCAAAAAATATTCAAAGTCATGAAAAGCAGGGACATACAGCCAAGACTGCTCTACTCAGCAAAGCTATCATTTAGAATTGATGCAGATAAAGAGCTTCCAAAACAAGAAAAAACTAAAGGAGTTCACCATGACCAAACCATTATTACATGACATGTTAAAGGGACTTATTTAAGAAAAAGAAGAATAAAACTATGAATAATGAAAGTGATAATAAATACATATCTATCTATTGAATCTAAGAAACAAACTAAGCAAACAAGGAGAACAGAACAAAACCATGGATACAGATAGCGTTTTGATGGTTGCCAGATTGGAGTGGGATCGGGGGGGAGTGGGTGAAGAGGTGAGGGGGTTAAGAAGTACAAATTGGTAGTTACAGAATAGCCATGGAGATGTAAAGTACAGTGTAGGAAATGGAGTGGCCAAAGGACTTACACACATGACCCATGGACATGAACAATGGTGTGGGGATTGCCTGAGGGAGTGGGGTGTACTGGGTGGAGGGGGACAAAGGGAGAAAATTTGAGACAGTTGTAATACCATAATCAGTAAAATATAATTTAAAGAAATGATTTTATACAGCCGATATTATCTTAGAGACACTGTAGTTGGAAAATGGATATTTTTCTATTCCTATGCAAGTTTCTAATAGGAATGTAAGCTTTAAAAAGTCCTTAATAAAAATTAGGATTTGTTTCCTCTTTTTATTTCAGGATGCCCAAACCACCTAATTCAATGGTACGGTGAGTATGCAATGTGTATTTTCCTCCCCAGTTCTGTTCAAGAAAACATTGTTGGCAATTTGCAGGTCTTAGTGTGAGGACAAATGAGACTTTTCATGGAAGGTTTTTTAACAAGTGGCAGGAGAGGCTGGCAGAAGTCCAAAGTAACAACATTACTCTTTTCCTCCAATTATATCCCCTGCTGTTCTTTTTTTTTTTTTTCAATCCTCATTGAGGATATGTTTATTTTTATGCATTTTAGAGAGAGAGGAGGTGGGGGGGAGAAAAACAATGATGTGAGAAATTTTCATTCGTTGCCTCCCATACGTGCCCTGACCAGGGACCAAACCTGCACCCTAGGTGTGTGCCCTGACCGCAGATGAACCCACACCCTTTTGTCGTACGGGACAACGCCCCAACCAACTCAGCCACCCAGCCAGGGCACTAATCTCACCTTTTACTTTCGTTTTCTAGTAATATATAAATATTTTTCTATTCCATGTACTTCCTAATCTCCAGTTTCTTCTAATTTAGATAGCTCTCCCAGGTTTTTTAAACCTCTGCTAGTTTGTCAAATGATAGGAAAATTATATCCCTATGATCTTTTTGACTTGTTGAATTTTCTTTCTTTCAGTGTACTAGCTACCTTTGGTTTGTGATTTCTGAACAGCACTGTGTACATGTACAGGCAGTATATATTGTTGATTGATTGCGTAAAAAAACAGATGGTCTGCCCTAACCAGTATGGCTCAAAGGGTTGAACATCATCCCCAAAACCAAAAGGTCGCTGGTTCAATTCCCAGTCAGGGCACATTCATAGGTTGCAAGCCAGGTCTCTGCTTGGGGGTGCGCGAGTGGAAACCAATTGGTGTTTCTCTCGTGAATCAATGTGTCTTTCCCTCTCCTTCTCCCTCCCTCCTCCTCTCTCTAAAAATAAATAAAATCTTAGAAAAAGGAAAAAAGGAAGAAACGATGGCCTGTGTTGAAAGTTCAATCCAAGATGGTCAGAGATCACTTTGTGTACTGAAGCTAAATGCTCCAAATGATTCCATAAAATAAAGTACTAGAATCCTCTTAAAACAAGAGACAAGAATTAAAAGCAACCAAAAATCCTAAAAACTATAATATTCATGTATCTTCTGCTTCATATTTGTATGTCAGCTGTGAGAGTTATTCACTGATAAAGAATTCATTATCATTTACTTAAAAATTATGGTAAATTTATTTATTTATTTGTGTAGCAGAATTAAGAAAATTTCAGCCCTGGCTGGTGTGGTTCATTGGATGGAGCTCTGGCCTGCAAACCAAAGGGTCGCTAGTTCAATTCCCAGTCAGGGCACATGCCTGGGTTGGGGGCCAGGTCCCCAGTAGGGGGCACAAGAGAGGCAACCACACATTGATGTTTCTCTCCCTCCCTTCCCCTCTCTCTAAAAATAAATAAACACAATCTTTTTGAAAATTTTCCTATCTCTTATGGTATATATTCCACCAGAATGCTAACTACATGAGTATAGGGACTTTGGCTCCCCGTCATGTCCCCAGGGATTAGACCAGTCCCGGCCCCAAAGAAGGGTTCCAATGAATACTTGATTAGTTTTTTTAAAGTGCACTTCTGTTTTGTTTGCTCAACTAAATCTCAGCAAAATCTGCTCCCCGTACCCGATTGAACACCCCTACCACACGCACATCTGCCGCGGGGCCATGTTCCCGACCTTCACGTCCCCCGAGGACCTCTACGTTGGCGTCAAAGCCGGGAGCCAACAGCCGTTCCCACCCACCATGCCGGCGAAGGGTTACGACACGACGGTTCTGAAGACAAGAGGTAAAACATGATTTAAAATCAGAACGGTATTGATTCTTCTTGTATTTGGAGTTTATTCAACAATAAAATTAAAGAAAGTAGGGCAAAGGACTCAAGTCACAGAAGTGTGACCCAGCAGAGTGTGACCCAGCAGATCAGAAGAGCCGTTCTCAGCTGTGGCCGCACTTTCGACTCATCCGAGCCCTCACCACCCACCCGTGTCATTCAGATTCTTTGCAGACGCTCTGAACCTTTCCTCTCTGTACAGAGCCCCCCGTGGTGGAAGCAGAAACAAACGTTGTAGTGTTGGTTGTTTGTGTTCTACCTACATTTCGTTTTTATTTCCTGTTTGTTCCTTTGGGTTAGCTTTTAAAAATTCTGTCCCAGCTCAGGCAGGCGATCAGCCCGAGGGACCATGGTGGGTTCAGAGCTTCAAGGCCTGGACGTGATGAAGCAGCCACGAGGGAAAGACCCTCACTGAGATGAGACTCAGAGAGTGGTGGGAGCAGTTCGCTCAGTTCCTCCTAACGCCTGGGAGCAGTTTATCACAGAGGCGAGCACGGGGGTCGCCCCAGACAGGTTTTATTACAAAGGAGAGTGCACCCTTACACTGATCACCAGGTCTCTCCGCACTGGACACCTCACGACAGAGAAGAAACTGTGGCAAAAGAGTGCCGGCAGCTGCAGTGGCAGAAAAGGTGCACGGTAGGCAGAGATAGATGTCTGTTGGGTGTATGTGGTCTGTGAGGAAGGCAAGACCCCAGAACTGTCCGTGAACGCAGCTCCTCTGTACACGGACAACTGGACCCAGCTGTAGGAACAGACACCGCCATCCTCACTGGCAGCCTCAGTACCGCGTTCGGAGGCAGAAAGGTTTTCAGAGACGTCACGTGGAGAGTTTAAGCGTGTGGACTGTGGAGTCAGCTGCAGGGCTAGAACTCTGGCTCTGCCACTTTCTCACCACGGACCGTGGGCAAGTTTCTTCACTTCTGTGCCTCCACTTCCCGATCTGTAAAACAAAATAGGAGTACTACCTCATGGAAAATAGAGATAAGTGTTAGCAGTAGTTGTTATTATTTACCCATAGGTCACTGTGATCTGAAAATATTAAATGGAAAATTCTAAAACTAAACAATTCATAAGCTTTAAACTGCACACCACTCTGAGTAGTGTGATGAAATCTCCCAGTGTCCCGCTCTGCCCCACCCTGACGTAAGTCATCCCTCTGTCCTGCGTGTCCACGCTGTGTGTGCCGCCTACCCCTGAGTCACTGAGAAGGCCTCTGGGTCATCGGACTGAAAAAGCAGAGGGTGTATAGGGTCCAGCACTATCCTCAGTTCCACGCATCCCCTGAGGATAAGAACACTACCACCAATGCCGAGGAATCTGCATTCGTTAAGATGTTCTCTTTGCCTTTTTAGTGAGCAAGTACTAACTCCATTTCTTGATATAAAGGCAGGGAAAAGTCAAAACAGGTAGTTTAGAATTATATTCACTTAAACGAGAAAGAGGATCCAGGAAGACTTATAATTTACCTAAAAGTTCCTTCCATTAACAAGAAAGGTGGAGGACCAGCCCTCCCGCCGCCGGAGCACTGGGCCTGGGGAGTGGACCTCAGTGCAGGCGGCCCTCACGCCGCGCCTGCAGGGGGCGAGGGCGAGAAGTCAACCAGTTGTAACTGTGAAGCTGCGGTATGCACGCCTGCGTACCGCTCTGCCTCATATTTTCTTGTTTCCGTGTATCGCACCCACAACTCCGTTAGCTAGAAGGCCCTCCTGTGTACTCAGGGTAACAGGGCTCTCCCTGGAAATTTCAGGTCACCCTTACAGATACGAGCTGCTGGACTATCCCATGGATTCAAAGAAGAAAGGCTTGACTTGGCCGGGCCAGGGGGTGTATTATGATGTAAGTATCTTTTTACATGTGTTTAAAACAAAGTAAAAAAGTGTTTTTACATGTTTATAAAAATCCAAAAGACGGATTGTTTTTATATTCTCTCTGGGGGGAAATTTTGAGGTTTTGACCAGGATTCACTTTTTTTTGTCCTGTTTTGTTTCCTTAGCTGATTTCCGATACTTTTGGCAGTTAAGTAACATTTCCAGTTACAAAAAAAAGAAGTTCCTCGGGGGAGAAGGAGGGAAGGGCTGCATTTCACTGCCGGTGTGCCCCGCAACTCTCTCCTCAGGGTCCATAACATAGCATGTAACTCCACGTACTCATGGAGGAAATGGGAGACTTTTTCAGAAAGATTCACACTTTATTGTGCTAACCGTTATATTTGTATAGAATCAAACATAAAACAATAGCCACTGTTTATTAAGAAGTTGCTACCCACGCTAACCGCCTGAGACCACTTCATGTCCAGCACTTACAAGCAGGCCCCGCCGGGCAGGATCAGCATCCCATTTCATGGACGAGGAAACCGAGGCTCAGAGACTTTGTGACTGTGCTAGTATCTCAGCACTCAGGCTTGTGAGGCTTCAGTCTCTGCTCTTAACCTCCGTGCCATGACTCCACACGGATAAAAAAAGAAAAAAAAATCTTGAGAGTATGTTTTTCACAGCGGGAGACAGTGGAACAAGGAAGGACTAGGAGATAGAAGGGACGCAAGAAGGGACGGGAGCGAGCTGAGGCGGGGCTGCTGTCGGCTCGCTGGAGAGTCTGACAAAAGGGGGCCCTGGAGACAGGTTCAGGGGGTGAGCCCCGGAGAGCTGCCGCTGCCCGTGGCTCCCCTGGCTGCAAGTCTCGTGGGGACCCTTAGAACTGAGGGAGAAAGAGCGTGCCTCTGAGAGAAAGGGGGAAGAAAGACATGGGCATGCTCCTGGGAAGGAGTGCGCCGAAAAAGAAAATTTTAAATCATAAAGGAAAACATCTAGAAATTTGAAAATAGCACTAGTTACCACTCATTGGCCAGCGAGTTTGTGAGGGGCAGTGTTTTCCACGTGGCATCTCCTGGCACCTAGCAGTCCGTGAGGTGGGCAGGAAACCCCCGTGGAAGGCTGGGAACCTTTGATTTCCGTTTGGAAAGACCAGCGCAGCAGGCCACAGTGCGGTCCCGGCAATGTCACGTAGTCGTAACGAAGTAAGCAATTTCCTGTTTGTGTTTTCTAAAGTTGTACATCAAGAAAAGTCCTTACAGAATCACCTGTTTTACTGGATCTCTTTCATTCTCTCGAGCAAAATCTAAGCAACCCAGAAATACGAGAAGTTATTCTGGAGATCATCCTGTCATTACACATCCTTAGAGCCCAAGTTTCCGTCTCGGGAGTTTAGTTTCTTCTTTCAGTTCCCTCATCTCCACCTGCCCTTTAAAGTGACGCTTTCCCCGTGTCCCACCCCTTTGCAACAGCCCCGGTTGGCTCCCCGCCACCTAAGCGTGGATGCCAGAGCTCAGCTACAAAGACACTTCAGGGTCTTTCTCCCTTCCTACACCTGGCTTGGCGTGCCCGTCCCCCGACAGGTTCATGGCCGTTTCCTGTTTCTGAATACCCTCCTTTCGGGGCCTCTCGCCTCCCTAAAACTTGCTCACTCTTCAAAGCTCGGCTCCACTCGCATTGCGTCTGCTGCCTGGAATTCCTTTGCCCCCACCCTGGTGAGACAGTGGGTCAGCTCTTGTCCTACCAGATGACATTAGTAGCAATAATCTTGTATGTTCATATTCTAGTTTCCTAAATCTGTTGAGAAAACCAAGCAAGTATTCTACCCCAAACCTCCTAAAACCTTCGCTCCTAACACTTCTTTAAATGCCTGGGATCATGTTAACTCTCTGAAAGAAGCCAACATACGAAGGAATCTTGAGAAGTCCCAGTGGATGACCTCCTACACTCAGGATTTCACAGGTAGGAGTTCCCTTTCATCCAGATAAAAAGAACAAGATTAGAGAGTTGACGAATGCTGTTATGAGCTTTCATCTTCTAATGTCTCTCCTTGTTTCTTAATCTAAATACTAATAGAAATTAAGGTGGGTGGTAAGTTTCTCTTAGCAGGTAACTGGGACGTTAAGTTGGTTTTCCTTTTATTGGTCCTCATTTATATTCCAAAGGGGATTGGGTATGTTTTTCTCCCAAGAGGTCATTTACGTGCCATTTTTCGTGTAACCAAATGATAAGGTGTGATGTTTCTGTTAAGGTCTGGGGCCCATGAACCCCCTGGAACTGGACGATTACCATGAAAAGGAGGTGGCAGAGTTAACCGGACATATGGGATTCGACCCCAAGCCTGTAAGTCGTTGCAGTCAGCTCTCAGTGGTTCGGGGGGGAATGTCCATGCGTCGGTTTCTCTCTTGCTTTGCCCGCTTCTTTTTGAGTGCTGGTGACTCAACTAGAAAGAGGAAAATGTAACTCATTTAGAAGTTAATTCTGAATTGATTTGAACTGGTTTGAATGCCTTTCTCCACTATTTTGAGGGACAAGCAAGATTTCCTTTTTTTCTTTGTGATACTGGTGGTGTTTTGTTTTGTTTTGTTTTGTTTTGTTTTAGCAGATTTTATACTGTGTTACTACTGCTAAAATTGACAAAGGAATTGATTTACAAAAGCTTACCTAGTAATTTAATGAGATTATTAAATTCTGTGAATCTTTGCGTATTAGTATATCTTGTACATTATCACTGCTCTCGAAAAGATAAAGCCTTCTTCCCGAAATCCACAGTAATTGAGAGTTGGCTGGATTACAATCAAAAGCCAATTCTCTGTAAATATCAGGTTTCTTAATTGATTTTGTGAAATGGTCTTAAAGTAATGATCATGCCCTTCAGTGACAGAAGCTACAAACTGTCGGCTTAATTTTGTAAATGAAATAAAATGACTTAATAGTACTCATTTATTGTTTTATTTGGGTCTAAATTTTATCCTCTAAAACTACAAAATTTTGAAAACAAAATTAATAGTTTCAAAGATAGAAATTATGGAAAAACACATTAAAAAACAACTATAAGCTATTTCAATATTAACTCTTTTTATGCTGAACTGAATACATTTTTTTTTCCATTAGCTTCAGTATTTCCCAAAGCGATATAGAATCATTAACACCAGAAGTAGTGCCATAGACTGTACATAAATGTATCATTCACTGAAGGGTTGTTCATTGTCTTTATTCTCTGAGTCTAGGAGAGATGAGATGCATACTCTGACATCAGCAGGTGTGTTCAGCAACTGTCCAGATTTCCACAGATTTGACCCTGTGTGGTCTGGCCCCTCAGGAAGCAGCTTTACCATTTTTATGAAATGCACGTACAAGTTATACAAAGGATGCTTGTCAAGTACATTATATGCAAAATTGCTGTGCAAGTAAATCAATACCTAAGTTTTTATTAATAACATGGTAAAATACGCCCAAAGTAGTTGGAATTTTCAGTGAATCCTGCTGGTTTCTGACTAAAGCATAAATAACAGATCTGGGAAGGCATGTTTTAGTGGTAATAAATATGCGTATGAAATATTTTGCTGTAGTAGAATAAAATAATGATATTAAAAACTGCTTCTTGCATTAGATACTGTCAAAGTAGGATATGATACACTCTATACTTTTAATTTATGGAAAATTAAACAAAACATTTCAAAGAGCTGGGTTTTTTTTTTCCTTTTTTTTGATAGTGTCTACTCAAACCTGATTAAAGTTAAAGTTTTTAAACAGATTTGTTAATAACAGTATGGAAATTTCCCCGACTATGAACAAAGTAGGTTCCAAAAGGATGTTCCCAAGTCCATTTTTTCTAAGTCCAAACTACCGTCACTTTCTCAACATTCTCATTTTCATCTCTGCTACCTATTCCATCACCATCATATATCCATTGTTTTTCACTTTTTTCTTCAACGTATAAAAATTTTCAGCCCTGGCTGGCATAGCTCAGTGGAATAAGCTCGGGCTGCGAACCCAAGTGTCGCAGGTTCGATTCCCAGTCAGAGTACATGCCTGGGTTGCAGGCCATAACCCCCAGCAACCGCACATTGATGTTTCTCTCTCTCTCTCTCTGTCTCCCTCTCTTCCCTCTCTAAAAATAAATAAATAAAATCTTTAAAAAAATTTTTTTCAAACACAGGAAAGTTTAAATAATTTTACCGTTAACATGCATGTGCCCATCACCTAAACTCTGCAATTGGCATTTTACTATACTTAGCACATAATTCATCTTTCCACCCCTCCCACCACTCCATCAATACACTTGTTATTTTTACAAGATTTTATTTACGTATTTTTAGAGAGAGGGGAAGGGAGGGAGAAAGAAAGGGAGAGAAACATCAATGTGTGGTTGCCTCTCACATGCTTCCAACTGGGGACCTGGCCCACAACCCCAGGCATGTGCCCTGACTGGGAATCAAACCGGCAACCTTTTGGTTTGCAGGCCAGTGCTCAGTCCACTGAGCCACAGCAGCCAGAGCAATACACTTATTATTTTTATACATTTCAGAATAAGTTGAAAACGTTAGTATACTTCACCCCTACACATTTGGTATGCATATCATTAAACAGAGTTCAATTTGTTTGAAGTTTCTTCTTTTAAGATAAAATAAACATTCAATGATTTATACAAATCTTTAGTGTACACTCAACGAGTTTTGCAAACGCACAGGCCTCCGTAACCCAAACCTCCATCAATATGTTGAAAACGACCATCATCCCACAAAGTTCCCTCGTGCCCCTTCCAAGCCGACTCCTCCCCTCGCCCTCCTGCCCGCAGACCTACACCTGTCACCAGCCCTTTCAGTGCACTCACCACTCGCGCAGGTATGGACACGACTGAGTTCACAATTTTTATAAAACATCTCAAAAAACAAGAATAGATATGACTAGCTCCTCTCAGACCAGCATTTCTCAAGCGTCCGTAGCCGCAGCATCACCGAGGTGCTTGTTTAAAAAGCAGGTACCCGAGCCCCGCTGTGGCGGGCCTTCTGACTCACAGTCCTGGGGGATCAAGCTTAGGGTCTCATTTTCCGCCGGCTCCAAGGCCGATTCTGACTCCACCGAGGTTCAAGGACTCTTGCCTTGGCCTAGTAAAGAAGACTTTGGCAGAGACTTAAATAACTGCCCCAAACTGTTAACATCACCTGCTGCTGACAGGCAGAAGTTTTGTTCTAGGGATTCTTTTATGTCTTTGAAAGTTTGAAAGCAAAAGGCTCCTACGTAGAGGAATTTCTATATCGCCAAGTACAAATACACCCTTTCTGTATTAGCAAAAATGGGTAGAGGAGAAAAATGTGCTTATGAGGACCCAAACAAATCTCACCGTCTTTAAGTATCAAAGGGCAGTGGAATGCGTACTGGCACACCCACCCTGGGCTCCCTGACAGCGGGAACGGGCGGGACTCTTGACTTGCCACCGTGGCAACACCCTCACCATGCCATGCTTACTAATGCATCGCTTTTCTCCTTTTTATCCCCCACTCCAGCCAGAGAAATCCCACCCCGTCTTAAAAACCGCCAGACCCTTGGAAGGCCGGCTTGCTCGGCTGCTTCAGAACCGACGTCCTCTGGAGGCTGCTGTCCAGCCAAGGCCACCCTCCTGCCCCGACTGCACCCCTCGAGTGTTGTGCAATTTCCATACCTTCATACCCAGTTCTACAGAAATGATGGCACTTGGCGATAACACACCAGCGGGTGTGACCAATAAATACCAGGAAATTGAAGAGAAGATTAAGGAAGAACAAAGGTTCCTGTCTCCCTACGCATACCAACCTTGTTACCCGACGAAAGATCTGACTGACATTTACGGCATACAGCCATTTCCAAAGATCACGGACACGCAGAAGACAGAGGATCTGTACTGGAGACAGCTGTCCTCAAAACCCCAGCCGAGACCTTACAGCAGCCCGGACCCTTACATTCCATACGAACATTTTAAATCTGCCTTCCACGACCCATATGCCATGTGTCAAAATCCTGGTAGCCTCGGTAAGCCTAGTATTTTACAAAATAAACTGGACTCGGCAGCTTTGGATCTAGAACGCTTTTTAGGTAAGCCAAAAGAACAGCTGACCTTCAGTACGGAACACGATGAGGAAACAAGATCACTTCTGGGTTGGATTCCCAAAGTCGGAGAGGCCAAGACGCAGACCGACCTGCTGGAGCTTAAGAACTCTTTCTCAAAAAGCAGTGCCCAGAAACGTTTCCATCAGTCAGTTCTGGAAGGCCATAAGGACCTCAGGGATAAGGTGCATTCCGGGATGAGACACCAATTCTATGGTCATAATTCGTATTATTTCTATAACTGAGATAATCATCCTTCCCTCAAAACCCAGCCCCTTGCTAGTAAAGAAAATATAACAGAATTTCCTCCCTGTTGTTGGGTTCTGTTTTTTAGAGGAGCCATAATGACCTTGTTAATGAGGCTTATGTTTTCAGGAATTTAAGTTAGGATCTAGTCAGAGGAACCCTGAGAAGGTGATGTTTTGACTTCTTGAAAAGTTTAACAATTTGACAATAAAATATTAGTACCAGAAAAATGTAAGTCTTTCATCTCATTTTCAAAGTATACTCCAAGGAACTTTTCTGAAACCACAAAAAACAATGTGTATGACAAAGTTTATATTATTGTTTTTAAAATATGAATATTTAAAAAAACTGAAATGCCCAATAACTGACATGTCTATATAATTTATATTAGCTTAATAAAATAAAATTTATATTAGCTTAATAAAATATGTGAACACTGTCCCTTTAGGTAGATGTTTGTACAAAGTAACATTAGGTATGAAAGGCCGAACTCAAATGCCCAGTTAGCTGAGGGATGAACACCCTACTACAAACTGTATAACCTTCATAAAGCACATGTGTGAGTCCTCTTTTTTGATGTTAACGTGGACAAAATAAGTCAGTAGAGAAAGATGAAACCCAAAGTGCTCTGCATGCACGCATTCTAAGCTGGATGTTTCTTTTCCTTTAACCTTATGGTAGAGAAACAACCATTTCTTTAATGCAGGAAAAAAGGGATTGCAGTGTGAAGAGCTTTAATAAGTAACTGGTGAGTTCTCATTGTGGTAAGAAAGAATGGTATCTTAGTCCACCATATAACAAAATACCATATACCAGGTGGCTTATAAACAATCAATTTTTATTTCTCACAGTTCTGGAGGCTGGAAAGGTCCAAGGTCATGGCCCTAGCACTTCCGGTGTCTGGTGAGGTTCTCACTGTCATCTCACATGGTGGAAGGGGTGAAGGACCTCTCTGGGGACCCTTTTATGAGAGCAGTAATCCCATTCCTGAGGCTTCTGCCTTCAGGACGAATTAGTTACTAAGGCCCCATCCTCCTAAACAACGTTAGGGGGTTAGGATTTCAACATATGAATTTTAGGATATACAAACATTTAGACCAAACAAATGGCTTAATATCAATTACCCTAAAGCCAAATGTCATCATTTTTGGAAGGTGTCCACAAGAGTTTGGCTAACCCCAGATGTAGGTCAGTTCATTTAATGTGCCAATGCTACAGGGGAGATCTGGCGAGATGGCTGGGGAGGAGGAGGGAAAACAGCCGCGTGGGAGTCTGCCTTCCCTCGACAAGGGAGGGGTCAGTAAGTGACAATACCCCTGTCCCCGTAAGGATAAACGAACTATCTTGGCTTGTAACAGCAGGAGGAAGCTTGCAGAGAGTGTACACGGACGGAAAGGTTTGCAGCACACCTGTACTGCGGAGGTTCACCTGGTGGCAGGAGAAGACATCCTCACTGAGCATGCGTCAGGGTAGAGCACTGTTTGGGCAAAGGAAAAGGCCCTCCTACTTCCTTCTGGAGCGCCTAGGATTAGGGGTGGAGATTTTTTAAGAGGGCTGGCGGTGACTCGACTTTTTCTCCCTTCTGGTTCCCCTCGCGGGTGCTGTCAGGGACCCAAGCCTGCCCGGCCAGCGGGCCTTGGAAGCCCCTGGCCTGGGAGGGTTTCCCAGGCCCCTCCTGGTGGAAGAAGCAGCCGCGGCACAGACCCCTGGCACTGCGCTGTGCCGCCCTGCTCTGCCCGGTGCACGGACGCGCTGCGGGGCTGCTGGCCTGAGGGATGGGCCCGGGCGTTGGGCCGACGGGCAGGAGCGGAGAAAAGGACAGCGCGCAACAAGTAGGACTCGAGCGAGCGCCAGACTCCAGAACGGTGCCTGAACCCGGACTGTGACCAGGAACCAGCCAGGCCACCTGGAGGATCGTGCTGCAGCTGCCCGCGTTTCCCAAAGGACGGGATTTTAAATGGGAAAGGGAATTCCAGGTGCAGCCTTGAACTAATGTGGCGAGGGGTGGCGGGATTGTCTTTGGGTGTTCTAGAGGGAATGCGCTCTGAGGCAGAAGCCCGCCGTTCTTCCAAAATCGTGTAACTTTTGAATAAACAACCCCTCTCCGTTTTCACCAAATCTCTGCCTTTAGAGTTTGCCTGTTGGGCAGCGGGCAGTAGAACCCCACTTGCTGTTCGGTAACACCAAGAGGTATATTTTAGACATAGTTTAGCATGGAAATTCGTTCATAAGGAATTTCTCGGAGGGTTTCGTTGAGTTTCTTTTAATTTTTGTTTTTGTGTCATGGCCAACGTGTCATTTGGTTACACCCATTTAACTCTTCTGGGCAAAAAATATAGAATCTTTCTTCCAAATTCTTGTCTATAGTACTAGTTATATTAGATATATTATGGGAAGCAAAATATTACACGGTAAAGTAATATTGGAGAAAACTGAGGGCAACAAAGCCAGTCATGTGACTCTACCACAGGATTCTCCATAGCCTTTCATACATATTTGGGAATGTCCAAGGTAAAGAGAATGGAGTGGACACATTTCTCAAATTAATGTGATCCTTTTATCATAAAGCATGTCACTAGATTAGAATTCCAAAGAACAAACTTTGGGAGATGCAACTCTGCAGAACAGGAATTGGGGTTTCAATTGCACATTCCCCCTAGGTTGCAGGGGCAGAGAATTGCATTCTGACCACGGGTATTCACTCCACCCACCTCTGTGTCAGCAGTGGTGCAGCTTCTCTTCAGAGGACTTGCCTACTCACCCTCAGTGCTGGTAAGCTGGCAAGCCCTACTCCTAACCCTGTTGGTTGTTAAGGCTAATAGATCTGGCCTTATTAGGTGACAGAGAATATCTACACTCCAGTTATGCTCATCAATTTTGAAACAAGTTTATGGATGTATCCAGATTAAGATAGATTCAATCCATTCATCTAATTTCACTTACTCTAAAAAGTCCATGAGTCCTGGCTGGTGTGGCTCAGTGAATTGAACACTGGTCTGTAAACCAAAAGGTCGCCAGTGTGATTCCCAGTCAGGGCACATGCCTGGTTTGTGGGCCAGGTCCCCAGATGGGGGCATGCGAGAGGCATGTGATTGATGTTTCTCTCACACTTTGATGTTTCTTTCCTCTCTTCCTCCCTCCCCCCCCTCTAAAAATAAAGAAAGAAAATCTTTTTTAAAATAAGCTAAAAGTCATGAAAACTTCAGTAAAGCTTCTGGTTTTGTTTTTTTGTTGAATTTTATTTTTGTTTTATCCTGTATACAGAGGCATAAACCAGCTAGGCCAGTAGGGGAAATAGGAGCTGAGATATCAGAAGCATTTTGGAAAGGAGATGGATAAAACAGGTGGCTCCTAACTGAAGACACTAGGACCCACTGACAGCGGGGAAACAGCCCAGGCTGCACATCACAGTCCTCAAAAGGCTCAGGAACTCGGTACCAGGACTGGGTGGGGCAGGGGTGGAGTGAGGGTGCGGGGTCGCTAAATCAGGGGAGACTGAGTGAAAAGAAGACAGTTGGCTACCTAGATCCTCTCCCTACCCGACTCCACGTCCTGACAGAGTCCCGAGGATTATTTTCTGAAGAAAGGTGCAGCAGGGTTTCTGGCACGGAGAACACCAGGCATAGCTGAGGACTGGGTACTATTCTGAAAGTGGGAAATGAGCACTATTACCAATAAGGGCCCTAGTGGGAAACAGACCTCCAAAGGTTTCCACTGAGGGCCATTTAGTGCAGGGACTAGTTACAAAGATGTGAGTAGGACTATGGGAACTTCAATAGTGGGGCACCTAGGAACTGGCGACAGCAAGAAGCCTCACCACTCCCAACCCTCCAGGAAAGAGAAGGGCCTAGCTTTACGGTGCCTCCCACTGGTGAGGCCGACCAGGAGTCAAGAGCAACGGGATTCAGGATATACTGTCCTTACCCTTGTCCTACGGCCAACAAAGGGTGGGAAATGGATCTAGAGAGGCAAGAAGAGAATGACCGGCACAGTGATGTTATAGATACTGCCTCCTCAGTCTGAGAGGTGCGGCCCCCCTTCCCCACTTGGCTACCAGAAAACTGACAGCCATCGACTTTCCAAGTGAGTCAGTTCCCAGCTGAAGCTGAACATCACCACGTTCTGCCTTCTTTTTTCAGTTCCCACACTGTAAACAAAGTGTCCTTGTTGTCTGCTTCATGCAACATCTTTCAAATTTTTTGTCTTTCGTTGGGGATTTTGCTGTTTCAAACGGCCCCCAAGCATAGTGCTAAAGTGGTATCTAGTGTTCCCACGTGCAAGAAGTGTGTGCTGTGCATTACAGAGAAAATGTTTGTTAGATTTGCCTCATTCAAACATAAGTTTTTAGGCTTGACACTAAACTGTGATCCATAAAAAAAAAGGTAAATTTGCCTTTGTCATAATTTAAAACTCTTGCTGTGCAAAAGAGCCTGGTAAGATGATGAAAAGCTATGCTACACATAGCTTTTTACACATGGGAGAAAATATCTTGTAAAGCACATATCTAACCGAGAAATAATATCCAGAATACATTAACAACTCTAAAAATTCAGCAGTAAAATAACAAACAATTCAATTTGAAAATGGGCAAAAGACATTAAAAAATCATGTTACCAAAGACAGATACATGGCCCATAAACACAACGGCAGATCTGCAACATCATTAGCCATTAGGGAAGTGCAAATTACAACCACAATGAGTGTCCATTCTGAATCTTCCACCTAGCCTTTCACAAAGGGATCCAAGTGGTAATTATGCGCTGCAGAAAGGGGAATACCTATTTATTTCAAGGCAATTAAGCACTGGTTCTTAGCTAACACTAATCTCTCGGGAGCCAGAAGACCACTATGAGAGAGGCTTAACAGGTTTTACCCAAATGTGCCCCTTGGTGAAGCCAATAGGAACACAGACATGCTGTGGTTACTCCCCCAGTTCTTGACTATGTCACTGGAATAGATATGCTTGGCAATTGGCAGAATCCTGCATTGGGTCCCTAGCCAGTAAAGCAAGAAAAGGCCCAGAAGAAGTCTCTGAATACCTCTCCTCCCTGCCCCCTGCCCCCAAAATACTCAGTACCACATCTTGACAAAATGGATGAAGAGAATACACACTTTATTAATTAGACCACCATCAAAGACTTGAAAAATGCAGGGGCGATTATTCTGGTCACATCTTATTTAAATCACCTATCTACTCACAAGATACATAGATTTGAGAGAATGAGAATATATTAAATTTAATACAGTGAGGATGTTCATTGAAGCTGCTATTCCATATGTAGTAAGAGTATATACTCTCTGTCCTCTGGAAAACTTATTGAAATTACTGAGATTATTTTTTCCTTAAATACTTGGTATAATTTATCATTGGAGCCTTCTGAGCCTCATTTTCTGTGTGGGAAAGCTTAAGTTATGGACTAATTTCTTTAAAAGTTATAATATTACTCATTTGCTCTTTATTCCTATGTTTTGATAAATTGTATTTTCAAGAAATTTTTAATTTGATCTTAATTTTTCAATAAAATAATAATCATTTCAATGTCTATAAGATTTGTCATTTTTCATGTGGGTTTTTCTTGCCTTTTTCTATGATTTTTCTTACCAGGTGTTTTTCTGTTATTAGTCCATTCTTTTACTTTCAAACCTTTTGTAATCTTATGTTGTAGATGCATTTTTCTGTTAAAAGCAAATATTCCAGTTTTTGAAATACCCTAATTTTAAAATATTTGGTAACTACAAAATTTAGTTCATTTATTGTAATAACTGATCTGCTTGGGTTTTAAACTACCATCTTACAATGTGTGTGGGGGGGTTGTATTTTTACTGCCTGCTTATTTTTCCCTCTTTTGCCTTTTAAGAAATATTTATCTCCATTCCATTTTTCTTTTTGGAAAACATACACAACTTTTCTATTATTTTATTAGTTTCTCTAGAATCTAAAATATACCCTCTTCCTGGAAAATGAAAGGACCTTAGAATATTTTAACACTAGTTTTCTACTGGCTTATATGCCATTGTTATTCCTTTCATTATATATATAGCTACAACATACACCATACACATATGTGTGTGTGTGTATATATATATATATACACAAACGTACTCACACTTCATGAGGCTTAGTTTTGCTTGTCCTCAAACTTTGTAAAAACCTCATCCTAAATGCAGTTTATTTCAATGGTTGTAAGTTTCATTTCTAGAAATTACCTTTAGCCCCTTTGAAAATCTGCTTGGTAAACAGTATCAGGACTTCAAAAGCACAGGCCGGATGTGCAAGGTGTTGCTAAGCTTGCGCTTTTACTAACTCGGATAGTTAGCCAAGTGAGCCTATTTCAGTAGTACCCCAAATGCTCGTTATTTTGGTCCCTTCCGAAGCCACAAGAGGTCTTGAGTAGTGTGACTTCTGCTGTTTTATAGCACACTTCCGTGGCAACCGTGTGTGAGCTTAGAAAGAGGAGAACTGGAAGTGAGGACACAGTCACAGAGGAAATCGGACGGTCTGGAGCAGAAATCAAAGGCCCAGTGGTTTGAAGGGATCTAAGGTAATCTAGCTCAACCTCCTAGTATCTGTTGCTGAATTTGAGGGCAGGAGGAAGGTTGTTAGAATGGAAATGTGATGAGAAAAAGCCCTCGATGGCGTACTCTAGGAATTGCACATAATATGTATTCAGTAAACACTTGACGGAATGAATACTGCAGCGCTGGATAGAAAATGAGGAAAAATTCAGCACAATTCGGGAGCTGAATTTGATGGGACAAGGGAGTCAAGAAGAAACTTTTCAGTAACCTAATTGGGCAGGAAGGGGGAGCAAGTTCAGAAGAAAAAATATACAGCTGGAAGCTGTGGTAATCCAACCTGTATTCTAATATGACCCCAACCACATTAGCTTACTTGAACGTGACCTTCACCTAGGTTAGATGGGATGCAAATCCAGTCTAGATTTCCAAGAACTTTCTAACCACGTAACAATGTTGCTTTCTAAATGCCCCTTACACACCCTCCTGGTTCTTTCTGCCCACCAACGCGAGGGAAAAACTGGTGTTGGCAGAAAAGTCAGCAAGTAAAGGGCCAGAACTGTAGTCCGGTCTGCAGCACCATCCCCAGTCCTGGGGCGGCCATCGAGGGGAACTTTGGAAGATGACTTCAAGGAACAGGGTGGAGCAAGAACAAGGTCAAGTGCACGTGTCCAACTCCTAGAACTCCCGATTCCAGCTATCAGTTTGGGTGCAGCTGGCACCAGCCCTAGAAGTATGACCAAGTACGGACAAAGGTCGCGAGCTGAAGGAAAGGTAGCCAGACGTCTCTCTCCCAGACTGGCAAAACGCCGTCCGGAAACGCTTTACGGCACAGAGCACAAGAACAGCTACCTCCGCGGGATAACGCCCTCAATCCACCAGGGCAGGGAACTCCACTCCGCCGTCCCCGTCGGCGCACGCACGCACGCACACAGAGGCCGCAGGGTGACGTAACCTCCGTACGGTTCGACCAGCGGACTGTCGTAACTGCCAGGCCAGTGAGGCTTCTAGAGGAAGGGCACTCGCCCGTGATATACCCTACCCTGCTAGCCGCCGTGCGCGCGCAGGTCGCTGCCGCAGGCCCTGGCGACTAAAGCCAATAAGATATGGCAACGTCACTGCGCACGAGTCGACGCCGCCGCACGGCGAGCCGCAAAAAGGCGGAGCGAGTTCGGTTGCACCAACACCGGTACTTAGGCGCGGACCAGCGTGTCCTTGGACTTAGAGAGCGGGACGTCCGGCTTGCGAGCAGGAACTTCTGTGTTTCGCGCACCAAAAGAGCGGTGAGCGCAGGGTACCGAGTCCACAGCAAGCGGAGGCTTAGCCTTGGGGGGCGCACAGCGGCCTGGGGGACGCGCGGGCTGTTGGAGGCCTGCGCCTGGGATCTTCTAGCGGAGCCCGCGCGGGCAGGCCGGGCGGGGGGTTAGGACCCCGGACTTGGGCCAGGCCGAACCCGGTGGGCTACGGCTCGAGGTGGGGTGGAACAACCCCACTCCCCGAAACTAGGTCAAGGCCCTAAAATCCCGGAGACAGTCGGAAGTAGATGAGTCTGAACGCGGCCTTCCTGTTGTCGGGGCTGAGTAGCGGTGGAAGTGGTAGACAGGACTTCCCGGGGTCAGGGAGAACGGGAGGACGGTGCGCTGCCCTTCGCGTTCTCCTTCAGCGAGGGTAAAAACTGTTGCTCCTCCGATGAGGGATAATTTTTTTTTCTTTCCTGATCACTTATCGCTTCCCCCCTGAGCTGCTCAGGCATCTCAGGAAGTCAAAATCACGGTCTCCTTGAGACCGGCCCACGTGGTTGGCCCCCAGGGCTCCCGGAGGTGGAGAACGCGGTTCTTTGGGAGACCTCGCAGCCCGCCGCTGACCTCTCGCCCACCGCAGGGCCGTTTAGAGTGACCTGAGCAAGCTGACTCAACCATGATCTCTTAATGTACTTTGCCCATTGTCAGACGGAGATGGTCTAAGTTATTGTGTGGATAAATAGGGATTCTTATTCTTAGTCGAAATGTCGGTGGTTTTGGCTTAATGCACTAACCTTGAAACTTAATCGGATTTCGTGACTTTCTGTGACCTTGACCTCATCTTTTGAAACAGTTTCGAACTAGGTTCCCAGTTTGCTTACTTGGGCTTTAACGGTCCTCAATTGAACACACGCTGATAGGTTTTTAAGGAAGTTCTTTCAAATAGTGTTTGCGGTATTAAAGTGTCTGTTACAAGTGTACTAAGTAAAACAAGATTGAGCCTGGTACTTAATGTCACGGGCTTACAATGGTTCAGTAATTAAGTAGTCATGAATTGGTTACCACCGTGTTTTTTACTTGGAGGGAAAACTTAATAAACTGAGTCTTTCGTTTTTAGATTTTAAAATGGGTGATGTAGAGAAAGGCAAGAAGATTTTTGTTCAGAAGTGTGCCCAGTGCCATACTGTGGAAAAGGGAGGCAAGCACAAGACTGGGCCAAACCTCCATGGTCTGTTTGGGCGAAAGACGGGTCAGGCCCCTGGATTTTCTTACACGGATGCCAACAAGAACAAAGGTAAGAGGGAGGCAGTTAAATAACAAAAGTACCAATTTTGAG